CAGTGTCACTGGCCCTCATATGTGGGATCCGAACCGGGGCCCTCTGGCATCCCAAGCGAGTTCTTAACCATCGCGCCACTCGGCCGGCCCCTGAGTTGAATTCTTAAATACCATCTTCCATTTCCTCAGTGACTGTGTCACATTTTCTCTGTATCTCTGATTCTCATCCTTACTCTCAAGAGACAACCACTGTGGTGGATTGTTGTTTTTTGTTTTTGTTTTTGTTTTGGCAGAATTAAACCCACAGTTTTTATGTAGTTAAATTTATTAATATGTTTTTTCATCACTTTTGGGTTTTACATCATACTTAGGGAAGTCATCTCCACTCCATGGTTCCAGCACTATGTATTGAATTACCCACCTTTCCCCATTGGTTAAAAATATTACCTTTTAACCTACCAAATTCTTGCATATATTTGGGTCTTTTTTTATCCTGCCTGTATTTGGTTAATTTCTTTTCTTCCACTGCTTTATTTGTTATCTAATTATCTATTATATGCTAGTATTGCGTCATTTTAATTATTGTAGCTTAATAACTATGTGATAATACTCATAAGTGTATTTGCCAGGATCTATTCTAAATGCATTGTGTTTAATTGTCATGATAACCCCTAAGTAATTACTATTATTATTCCCATTTTACTGATGAGTAAGTTGAGGCACGGAGTAATAGTACCATTGTGCCAGAGTTGACCTAGCCCGGATTGACAGCAGGAAGTCAGATTTTATGCTTTTCACCTCTGTGCTTTAATATCTAATACGGCAAATATCCTCTCATTGAAAATTTTATGTAATTTCAAATCAATTTTGGAGGGTATCGAGGCAAAAATAATTAATGCCTCTAGCTATGTCCTCTCTTTGAGCTGTAAATGCACACATCCAAATTTCTGATGGACCTCTCTACTCAGATGCCACAAAGGTATCTTAAATATAACCTATCCCAAACTAGACGAAGCATTGTTCTCCCGCAAACATGGTCTCAGACTTCCCATGTTCCCTGATTCACTTGGTGGTTTCATCACACCCTCCTTCACCCAAGGTAAACATGGAACTTCTTCCTGCCCCCTCGCTTCCTGCATCAATCCAATCCCCAAGTCTTACTGTCCCCTCTTAACCTTTTCCAGAATCTGGCTCTCTCCCTCCACCCACACTGCCACTGCATTAGACTGGCTCAAGCCTGGCTCACCTCCATCCCTTCCACCACAGACTGATGTATCTACAAGGAGAAATGAGGTTGTCACTTGGCTGCTTCATGTTGCCTCTGGGATCCGAGGCTCTTGGGTATGATTTACAAGGTCTCTTCTCCTGCTTCCTCCAAAGCACTGAGCTACTTACAGTTCCCAGAATGGTTTCCTCTGCTTGGAAGAACAGTGACCTCAATACCACCCTCACCGCTTCCCTGGCTAATTGGTTTTTACTCAGATTTTTTGCAGGTGTCACTTCCTCTGGGAAGTCCTCCCTGATTCCCCTTTTTTCTCCCAATCTACTATAGTTCTTTCCAAATGAGGCAATTACCGTATTTGCCGGCGTATAAGACGATTTTTTGGCCCTGAAAAATATGCCTCCAAGTGGGGGGTCGTCTTATACGCCAGGTACACTTCAGATAGACTGCCCATAGTGCTTGCCCCGTGCCATAGTGGCCTCCCAATGCCCGCCCACTTCATTCCACATACCGTTCAGGCATCAGCAGCGCTGCTGGGTGTATGCTCGGCTGTTATGCGATTTTGCTGTTATGCGATTTTACCACACTCGCAAAATCGCACACAGCCGACCATACACCCAGTATGATAGCGCAAAATCGCGAATCGCGATACCATACTGGGTGTATGGTCGGTGTGTGCGATTTTGCGAGTGTGGTAAATTCGGGTTACCGTATATTTCTTTACATATGCATTGAAGATTCGCGATTTTGCGCTATCATGGTGCCTGTTAGAATGTTGAAGAGCTCGCACTTGCGCACTAGTGAGGTCCCAGGGAGATGCTGATGCAAGGGTGGACCAGACTGCTGGTGACAGGGCGGGCAAACAGGGAGCAGGGACCAATCAAATCAGGCTTTGTATACAGCCAACAGCCAACCACAATACTGCACCATTGTACAGTACAGCATAGAAAATGTCGACCAGTCAAACCCCTATCATCCCTATCATGGCACCAGCCAAAAGAAAGAAGTATGATGCAAATTTTAAACTGAAAGTTATAAACTTTGCTAAGGAAAATACTAATTGTGCTGCTGCAAGACAATATGGAGTAACAGAAAAGATGGTTCGGGACTGGAAATCAAATGAGAAAGCATTAAAGAGTATGCCAAGGGGTAAGTGTGCATTAAGAAGAGGCACCCCACACTGGCCAGAACTCGAAAAACATGTAGCAGACATGGTGGCTCAACATCGCCAAAACGGTTATGTGGTGACACGAAATACAATACGCTTGTTTGCACTTCAGTGGGCCAAATCAAATCTGATATTGTTTTACCTTTTATTTGGTGTGTGGAAGGTGTGCGGAAGAGGGGGTAGTCTTATACGGCGAGTATATAACAAACTCTGTATTTGAGTGGAAATGTTAGGGGGTCGTCTTATACGCCCAGTCATTTTATACGCCGGCAAATACGGTAACCCTTGAGGCACTCCCCTCCCCCACTGAGTTCCTTGAAAACAAGACCTCTGCTTTTTTATATCTCCAATCACAAGCCAGGCTCTGGAAAATGGATCCCTACCAATGCTTGCTGAACTGAACCAACTTCCTGTCTCTTCTGTTCTTTCCTTACTTTTCTCAGGGTAGAACTTCTCCTCATGAACCAAAAGGTGAGGACTGATGAGAAATGATTAGGTCAAGAGACAAGAACTGGAAAATGATCAGATTTGTGGAGAGAGGTTGGTCTAGAGGAGTGGTTCTCAAACTTGATCACTTTGAGACACCACCTGAGGAGACTGTTAACAATGCAAATTCCTTAATCCAGACCTCACCCCAGCAGGGATTTGCATTTCTAACTGGCTCCAGCGGTTATTCTCATGCAGGAGGGTTTTGAGAAACACCCAGTTGGGAAGCTCCGGAGAGGGCGGGGTCCTTGACCACTTACCTTTGCTTCTCTTCCACCTGAGGTAGACCATTGCTCCCAGAATCGCGATTCCAAGCACAGCACCAACCAGTGCCACCCCGACTATAGCTCCTAGAGGCAGGGGCCAAGAGCTCTTTTTGGTGGCTGTGGTACTGGCGGAGGCGGTGGTGGGCACTTGGGTGGTTTTCTTGGGGGCTGAGAAGACATGAGAATAAACAAATTCTCCCCTGGAGCACAGGAGGTATCTGGGTGAAACTGTCACACCCTGTTCCCTAGTTTGGGGAATACTGAGGATGGGGAACAACCCTCTGAAGCTCTCACACAGGGAGAGGAGTAACAAGGTGAAATGCTGAAGGCTGAAAATCCACATCACTCAGTGTAAATCCTGACTCTACTACTGATCAGTGGTCTGACCTCAGAACCTTGTTTCATCACCTACAAATAGGGGTAACTATAACACAGGGTTAATAATTTTTTATTGTGATAAAAGACATATAACAAAATTTACCACTTTAACCATATTTAAGTGTACAGTTCAGTGGCATTAAGTACATTCCCATTGTTGTACAACTTTTACCACTATCAATCTCCAGGACTTTTTCATCTTCCCAAACTGAAACTCTGTCCCCATTAAACAGCTCCCCATTCTCCCCACCCCAGCCCCAGGCACCCACCATTCCACTTTCTTTCTCTGTGAATTTGACTACTCTAGATACCTCATGTAAGTGGAATCAAACAGTATTTGTCCTCTTATAGGATTGTTTTAATAAATGAGAAAACATCTGTAAAGAACCTAGTATATATTGGAAATACGTTTTTAAACGTTAAATTACCATATTTCCCCATGTATAAGACGCACCCTTTTTCGAAAACTTTGGGGGCTAAAAACGGGGTGCGTCTTATACAGTGGTTGTAGTTTTTAAACTTGCATTTCCCACTTTTTCGCGCTTGTTGTCTTTGTGCTCATTGTTTTACACTTGTTACCAGTATATTAGGTTACGTTTTGCCACATTCTGCCCAGAAATGGCTCAGAAAAGATTTTTGTGCTGTGCTGAATTCAAGTTAAAAGTGATCCAGTTTGCAAAAGTGAATGGAAATCGTGCTGCTGAACATAAGTTTGGTCCTCCTCCAACTGAGAAAACAATCCGAGACTGGCTATGGTTGGGAGTTTTGACAGTGATGAGGAGTTGTATGAATTTTATGATGAATAAAACTTGAGTTCAATAACTTTATGTAATTTTTTTTTTCAAATTTTGGGTCCCAAAATTAAGGTGTGTCTTTTTTTTTTTTTATGGTGCGTCTTATACATGGGAGCATCTTATACATGGGGAAATATGGTAATATATATTGAACTTTAGTTCCTACAAACAGATTGTACTTTTGTCGATGTTTAATGCACCACTAAAAAAACTGACATAATATGAAGCCACAGAAAAAATATCTACTCCAATAAAATCTTCAGGTTAGTATGGACCAAATTCTCTGTCCATGTTGGTTAGAAATTAATAATAAAACTAAATACCATGTCTCAATGGAGATAACTTTAAATTTATAATCAAAGAAATACATATATATATATATATATATATGTTATTTAGAAAATAAAAACCAAAGCAATACATATTTTAAAAAAGTCTCCTGGAATATGATTAAAGCTGCACTCTAGGCTAAATGCATAGTATTAAATGCTTTCATTATTTAAAATGGGAAGAAATTTTTTAAATTAATAAAATAGGCAATTTTCAAAGAAAAAAATAACCAAAACCAGAGAGTAGCCAGCCCTAAGGAAACTCACAGTTTGAAAGTAATGAAAACCTATGTAGGAATATATTTATTAGGAAACAGAACAGCAGGTGGAATAAATACAGGAAGTGGTTATTTAGGGAAAAAAACCAAGAAAACAGACAAGACTCTTGGTAACCAAACAATAAAACAGTCTGTTTAAATTGAGAGTGTATACTCAATTATAGGTTGATAAAATTTAAAAACTTTATGAAATGGATGATTTGCTGGAACAAACTAATATTTAAAAAAATGGATTTAATAAGTAATAAAGTTTAACTGATGGGTAGACAAAGAAGCGAAACACTATTAAGGAACAATTTTTCATAAAGATTCTATACTCAGGTGATTTTATGGGTAAACTCTTGTAAAAATTTAAGAAACAGATAATTCTAGACAGAAGGTTCCAGAAAATTGAGAAATATGAAAAATTATGCAATGCTAATTCATTACATAAAATAATGCTGATACTAATATTCATTCATAATTTTAAAAAAATGAAGATTAAAATAAAAGGCTGTTGTTTTTTTAACTGATCTGAGTGGGGGATAACACCCAGTATTGCCACAATAGGAGTATAAGTTGTCACAGCCTTTGGGAATGCATTTGGTAATGTCTATCAAAGTGTAAAATACCCATGTGTGCCCTTTGACCCAGTGATTTCAGTGCTAGGAATTTGTCCTATGGAAATCCTGGTATAAGTATTGAAAGGCCTGTGTTTAAGAGTGTTCTTTGCAACATTATTGTGATGTGGCAACAACCTAAATGTCTTTAAATAGAAGACTGATTAAGTCAATTATGATACATTACTACAATGGGACACCATACAGCCATTTTTAAAAAAAGGCACAGATGTATATATGCTGAAATGGAAAGATATTTGAAGTACATTAAGTAAAAATAGCAAGTTATAGAGCAGAATACCATGCAGTTTAATTCTATTGGTATTATACAAGGTGTGATCAAAAGATGCGGTGAATGTTTAAATTAAAAAATGTATTACAGTAAAAGACACATTGCTATTAATCCCCCTCAAAATACTCCCTGTCAGCTCGAACACACTTATCCCATTGTTCTTGCCACTTTCTGAAGCAGTTCTCCAGAACTGCTTTTGTGAGTGTCTTTTGTGAGTGTCTTTACTTTATCCTCCATCATGACAACGCTCTGTGTCACACATCGCTTCTGGTATGGCAATTTCTGCCCAATGAAAACATTATGGTGTGTCCTCATCCACGTTATTCACTGGATCTGGCACTGTACGACTTCTGGTTCTTCCCCGAAGTCCATGACCATGAAAGGTAAACGTTTTGAATCGATTCAGGACATGGAGACAACCATAACAGTGTACCTAAAGGCACTCACGAAAGAGGACTTCCAGAAATGCTTCAGAAAGTGGCAAGAACGATGGAATAAGTGTGTTCGAAGCAAGGGGGAGGATTTTGAGGGGGGTTATGGCAATGTGTCTTTTATTGTAATATGTTTTTTAAAATTTAAACATTCACCATTTTTTTTTATCACACCACATATATATATTTTGTATCCGTATGTGTGTCTACATCTATATCTGTATGAAAGAACACTTCTGCAGAAAGAAGTAGTGTCTGGGGAGATAAAATGGAGAGGGAGGAATGTACTTTCCGTTTGACTCCCTTCTGTGTTGTTTGACTATTTTTTATTATGTGCGAGTATTAATAGCACCTTTATTAATTTTAAATTTTAACATTTATTTTTATCAAACTTGTATAGTCATAGAATTTAAAGTCCACAAATTTTAGACAGCTTATAAAAATAGCAACTTCCTGCATAAGCCTCCTCAACCCCTTCCCACTCCTCCAGAGACGGCTATTTTCATCACCGTTAGCCATTTATTTTGGCATTAACCTCATATTTCTCAATCACGTGCATTTACTGCTGTTACTTGAGTTTGTTGCTTTAGGTAGCATGTATTTTCTTCCTAGTATTGAAATTGAGGAATTAGATCTTTTACACCCCCATTTTATCTATCTTACTCATTTTCTAGCATTTGATATTCTCCCTTTCATGCAATGGGTTCTTCACTTGGCATCTGGGACACCATTCTCTCTTGGTTCTTCTCCTGCCTCCCTAGAAACTTCTGCTCAGACTTTTTTGTTGGTTCCTCTTTGTCTTTCCAACATGTAACACTCACGGTTCAGTCCTAGCACCTCTTCTCTGTCTACACTCACTTCCCAGATAATCTCACGCAGTCCCATGGCATTAACTACCAGTGAAATGCTGATTACCCACGAATGTACACATCCAGCCAACTCTCCCCACACTCCATACTCACCTGTATCACTGTCTATCATGCCTCCATTTGTTTGTTTAGTAAAATCTCAAATTTAAGATGTGCAAAACAGAATTCTTGATTTCTTCCCAAACCTGCCCCACTCTCCCATTTCCCCTTCTCAGTAAATGGCAATTCCATCCTTCATGAGACCCAGGTCAAAGGCCTTACAGTCAACTTTGGTTCTTCTCTTATTCTCACCCCCACATCCAATCATTTGCAAATCACGCCTGCTCTGTCTTCAGTTTATAAGCAGCATCTGGCCGCTTCTCAGCCCACCATTGCCAACACCCTAATCAAGCCACATCACCTCTCACCAGTGTTCCAGCTTTTGACTTCACTCATCTGTATAGTCTTATTTTCCATCCAACAGCCAGAGGGATGCTTTTACAGTGTTAATCAAGTCACCACACTCTTCTGCAGGAAACCCTCACTAGCTGCCATCACACTGAGTCAAAGTTCTTTCCTTGGCTTTCAAAGCCACACCGGATGTGTGCCATGGCCGGTTTTGACCTTACCTCCTGCCACCCCAGCCTTTTCATTTGCTTCAGCCTCACTTTTCCCAGCTCATGGCCTTGGCCCTTGCTGTTTCCTCTTGACTGGAACATTCGTCTCTAGACTCTCTCCTTCGCTTCCCCCAGATCCATGGCTAGGCTGGATTTTTCTGCTGGCTTCTCTACCAGCATTGTGCCTTTGGAGGCTGGTCTTGGTAGACTCCATCCATGGGCTCTCTCGCCCTCTGGTTCTCATTCAGTGGCCAATGGGAGTCACCAGCAGGAGACGGAGAGAGAAGGAGGGTAGGTCAGGGTATAGGCCTATGCTGTCTCCCTGATGGTTATTGTATTAGTCAGGGTTCGCCAAAGAAACAGAACCAATAGGATATAAGCGTTTTATTATGAGGGCTTGGCTCATGAGATTATGAGAAGCCCCACACCTGCCTTCGGCAAGAAGGGGGCCTAGGAGAGCCAGTGGTTCTAGTCCACCCTGAAGGCCCGAGAACCGGGAGCTCAGATGTCTAAAGGCAGGAGAAGATGGATGGGTGTTCCAGCTCAAGTGGAGAGCCAGTTTCCCCTCCCTGCACTTTCTTGTTCTATTCGGGCCCGCAGGGGATTGGATGAGGACCACCTCTCATCTCTTCTGGAAACACCCGCACAGACACATTTAGAAATAATGCCTCAACAGCCATCTGGGCATCTCTTAGCCTATCAGTTACATTTGCTGCAAATATTCCTTTAGTGTTATGTCTTTGCATGGTGGTACTTGGATTAAAAACATTTCTTTTTCTTTCTTGAATTTTTGTTCTTTTAAAGAAATAATGAGCCTGAATATCCTATTAAATGTGTTATTGAAAAAGTTAATTTATTGGTGAAAAACTTAAATGTGACAAACAGAAATGAGAAAAGGAAGAATTAGGGAAAGGGGAAGATGGTTCTAAAAAGAGACATAATCTCTTAAATGGCCATTTAAGGAGATATGGAGGAGGGTGCAGGAAATATAAATCCAAGGCTTTCTCCCTTAATCCAGTTTGTGAGACATTTTATAATTACTTTAAAGCCAGCTTGATGATCAAGATGGGGCAGCCATACCCAGGGTGGGAAGGGTGGTGCTCAAAGAATGTCCTTCCCAGCTGGGAGCAGTACTTCATCACTGACATAGTTTAGAATTACCAGCGCAGTGATTATGGAAAGCAAACCGACTCAGTTAATTGTTAGTTTTCTAAAAAATTTTCTATAGACAGTGTACCCCCTCATTGCCTGCATCTGGGAGACAGCTCCTCCTGCGCTGTCCTGGAGACAGATAAACCCAGCTTCAAGTTCTGATACCCACTGAGTAATATAAAAAGATCTATTAATACAACACACCCCATTATTAGGTTAAAAATAGGTCAAGACAGCAAGATAATCAAGCCTGTAGGTGAGGCTGATTGGCTCATGATTAAGAGAGGAGGCTCTAGGGTTAAACTGGGTTCAACTTTTATCATGAGTGGTGATTTGGGGCAGGTGCGAGCCTCAGTTTCCCCATCTGTAACAGTACCTGCTGTTACTGTGAGGTTGTGCAGGTTAACTAGCACGATGCATACGAAGGTTTCAGCCGGGTCGCGGTACATAGTAAGCGGGAGCTGCTGTTACTGCTGCTACAGAGGGGCCTCTAACGACCAGCACAGAGGAGCAGGATCAGAGTGGAGAAGGGGACAACACAAGGGCTCCTGGGGGAGAGGTGGGGACTGGGGTTCAATGAAAGGCTAGGAGGGTGAGGAGGATAGAGACTGGAAGAGGGAGGAAAGAGGTATGATGGGGTGGGGAGAGTTGAGAGCCATGTTCTGGGGAGCAGAGTGGGAGAAGGAAGGAGAGAGACTGGGAAAACAGGTGAAGGGATGTTACCAGGGAACCGGGGGCTCCTCAGGGCGTTGTTGGGTACCTACTGTGGGTGCCAGGCTGAGCTCCTGGCTGTGGGGAGACACTGAGTTGGGAATAGCTAAAGCTCCACACACGGACACATGACAAAAGGAAGGCAGGCCACATCCTGAAGAGGTGAAATCCACCTTGAACATGGGGTGAGGGCACGGGGCAGGGCTAGAGCCCCAGTGTGGAGGGTAACTGGGGAGCCCAGAAAGTGCTGAGGTCTGGGGATGGGGGTGTGGGCTGGATCTGGAGGAGGTAGTGAGGGAAAGGGCAAGGCAGGCCAGGTTTGTGGGAGATTTAGGTGGAAAGGGTAAAGCTGGCAGAGGCCTGGGGTAGAGTTGGGGTGGGCAGGGTGAGGAGGTTGAGAGAAGGGCCAGGAAGAGTGGGGCCTGGACCAAGGCTGGGGGACGAGGGCACCAGTGGCCTTCGAAAGCCTCAGCCAGGGCAGCTAGACTCACCTCGGGTGATGGTGAGTCTGGTCCCAGGGATGGACTGCCACACCTCCTCCTCATGTTTCTTGAGGGTCAAATAGACTCGGCAGAAGTACAGACTCTCGTCTTCCTTCCGCAGGTTAGAGATCTGGAGGTAGCCGTTCTCCCAGCTCTCTGTCCAATTCAGGAAGAGCCGGTTCTGGAAATCCGTATGGATGAAATGCGGGGTCGTGTTGTAGATGAACGCCCCATGGAAATCTTTCCATCTCCAGGTTATACGCACACTGAGAACACTGGCTGACTCCCAGGGGTGACAGAAGGAGAAGGGGATGTGGATGGAGCCACCCTCGGGGGCTGAGAGCCACTTTGGTTGGTTGACCTCATACCGAGCGTCTGAATTGCACTTTGTCGAGCTGCCTGAAGGAGGAAGGGAGAGGGAGAAACCTCAAAGTGGCTGTGGTGGTGGGTGGTGTCAAAGAGAAAGCCCCAGACCAGCTGGCACCCTCACCCAAGGGCAGAAGTGTGTCAGATGGTAGGACTGGTCCTCTGGCTGGGTGTCCCCCTCTCCAGGCTTGGGGTAGGAGCAGGGTGAGGGGTGGGGGGACCTAACACTGTGGGACCAACTCTTTGCTTGTTGGAGATGGCTGGCCACCCCAGCAGGCCCTTTCTACACCCAGCTTCAGGCCCCCCCGGGGGCTCCCCCATGGCCCAGGGCAGAGCCAGGATGGTCCCGGCCACTCACCATTCTGCAGAAACGCTGGCAGCAGCAGCAGGGGCAGCAGCAGGGGCAGACTCATCACCTTGCTCTCCTCCAGGGAGATGAGAAGACAAGCACAGACCTCAAGGCCAGAGGGGAGGCCCTAGGAGGCACCACCTCAGGGAAGTCTGGGCTGCAGGAGAGGAACCATCAAGCTCCTTCAGAAGGCGGAGGAAGGGTGGGAACCTTCCTCAATTCTGCAGCCCCAGAGTGACCAGCACTTCCTTTATCAATCTGGCTTCTTCTTTTCTTATATTGCAAAAGGACCTCCCTTTTGGCCAGTGCAAAGAGAACGGTGATATAGGGTCCCAGCCTCCATTTTCACACTGAAGGGTGTGGTCCTGACATCGGTTTGCTGGGGCCTCTTCTCCCTCACCTCAAGTCCCTGCCTCTGCCAGAGTCCTCCTCTCTGTCTCTCACTTTCTATCCTTTTCTCTGCTTCTCTGAGTGTCTCTCAGCCTCTGTCTCTCATCCCAGCGAAGGGATGGCAGCAGGACCAGCTCTGGCCCTTTCAGGGAAGGAAAGGCGGCCATGAGTCCCTGCCCAGCTACAACTGCTTAGAGAGAAGGAGCAGGGAGCCTATGTGGTCAGATAACCTCAGGCCCCAGCCCCAGCCCCAGAAGCACCCAGCTTGCTCTTGTTCCCTCTCCCTCCCCTCCAGTCCCCAGGCAGAACCAAGGCCCACCAGGCCAGGTCGCTTCCCTTTGTGCAGTCTCACACCCTCCCTGAGGTTAAGAAGTGAGGGTGGGCTCACTCCCACCTCCCTAGAGAGAGGGCCTCCTGGAGGCCATGCCTCCACCCACTGGATCTGCAGGGCCCTCTGTCCTCTCCACTGTACAGATGAGGAGACCAAGGCTCAGGGAGGCTGTGCCCCAAGTCCGTGACTCTCAAGTGACAGATGTGGGACTCGAACTCCAACCTCGCTGACTCCACAGAGCTTCTGCTGCTTCTGGATGCTTCTGTCTGGTTGCACCACAGACTCTCTGGGCCTCAGCGTCTGAGTGCAGAGATCTGGGGTGTGAGTCCCACGAGGCTGTGTTTATGCTCCTGTGGTGATTCCATGACAGCTGTTAGAGCCCTGGCTAATGCAGAGCTTTCCATGGACACAGGGGATAAAGACTCAGAACAGTAATGATTCACCCCAGTGACAGTCCCTGGGACTGTCTCCAGTTAAGGGCACTGCCAGCCTTGGACTGGTGGTGGATGGGCTGAGAGATTGGAGGCTGAGACTTTTCATGACCTACAGGATTGGTTCCATAGGAGGATCTGCCCACCCCCTTTCCAGGATGCGGTTGGCATCAGCCAACTGGGTAGACTATAGACCATGGGGATGGGAGGACATGGTTTCATCAGAGGAAGTGGCCATAATCTTCTGGTGGTGGAAGCAACAGACTGACTTCCTTTTTCTTTGTCTCAATTTCTTCCTTAATTCTTATAGTTTTCTTCTAAGCTTTTCCCACGGCCAGATAGACAGCCCCCACCATCTCTGTGTCTGCTTTTCTACCCCTCCTCCCGGGCCTGGGAAGACAGTTTCCGAATTTTCATGGAATCCTCTTTCTGATCAGGCCCTAAACATCCATTGCCTCATTTTCAACTTTACAACATTCTGTGGTTGGTATATTGTTATCTCCATTTTACCCATAGGGAAACTGAGGCACAGATGTCATGGAGTCCTCTGGGCTGTGAAAGACACTTGGGTCAATTGGTAACAGCTGGAAATGTGGACAGAAGAGAGGACAAGGGACCCATTGGCTTCTCAGCAGGACTCCAGAGGGTGGCCTGCCCTAACTGCAAGGTAACACCTGGATTCCATTCCCTCCATGCCCCATCAACTGTGGGACCTGGCTGGACAGTCTTCTCCTTGCCAGGCTGCTAGAGGAGAGGGCTGGACCCCACAAGGGGGCATCACTGCCCATTCCATTGGGCAGCACAGACCATTTACAAAACAGGCTCTGGGTAACATTCACAGAGTACTGCTGTCCTAGTGCCTCAGGCCCAACTGCTCTCATGTATGGTCTCCCTAGGTATACGTTGAACATTTCATGTCACATTCAGACCCCTGGACCAAGCTCAATCCCCATGAGGCTAGGAATTACGAGGCATGATTTCTGCTCAGAGATGGCGTGTAGTCTCCCGGTTTGTTCATCCTTTCTACACCCAACAAGAATGAGAGGGCCTGGGAATCAGCCTCCAGCTGTGGCTG